GAAATCTTTTATATACACACATGTTCACAACTGCTCACAGACAGGTGTTCTGATCCGGGGGGTTCTGACTGGTCACTGAGTATGTGTGATATAATATCTTTATTTATCTGAGTAATATCTAATATTTAGTGGCAGTGTGTATATATGTCTATGTGTATATACAGACAATATTTATGAATGTAGGCATGTATGTATGTATATCTTTATATATGTATGGGTATGTGTGTATTTTTATATATGCCCTCCATGTATTCATCCATTTATTTTTCAGGTGAGCGGACAGATGTTGGGTGTGTGGTCCTGTGTTTTGTTGGTGTGTTTTTAATATACTCCTAATAGCTATTTCAATCTTTCTATCTTTCTAATTACTTCTCTCTCTGTTTTTCTCTCTGTCTCTATTTTCTCTTCACTTAAAAAAAGTCACTGATGATGAAGAAATAAATAAACTAATATTTGGTTTCATTTTCTACTGAAGTGACACAAAAAAAGAAACATTACTATCCTGACCAATTAATATGAAATCAGAGTGAAGACATACATTTTATTCTCACAAATAGCTAATCAGCTCATCATATGGGCAGCAACTCGATGCCTTTAGGCATGATGCGGTGAAGATGACATGCTGAAGTAAGCATCAAGATGAGAAAGAAAGGGAGTTTGGCAGATTTTGAGTGTTTTATAGTTGCTGGTGGAAGACAGCTCATTTTTCCCTGTTTAAAAGAGATTGCGTTGAACCAAATCACAAGTCAACAAAGAACACAGTTTTCTAAAGCATTTGACTCATTTCTTATTCGTTACATTTACACAGAATCCATCAACATTCATTTAACATTATTTTGAAAGAATTCACAGTTAAATTAACAAATTTAATCTCCTGAAAAACAATCCTGTCCTAAAAGAAGTGCATAAACAAACGCTCTACTGACAAGATGTTCTGAGAGTGTTAAGCCTCCGAATGCAAATAAAGTATCAAAAACAAGGACTGTCAGAAAAAAAAGAACTTCTACACACAACAGATGCTTGAGCCATGATTGCAGGTCAGATATCACAAAGGGAGGGGTTCCTTCTTGCACCAATGGTATGCAATCATACATGTCAAGTTGTACAGATTGTCCGAAATTTACACAGATTGTTTTTGTCATTTTGCAGGTATATGGATGTATAGAGCAATCTCACAGATTTTTTCATGTTATACTGATTTATTATTTTTTTACGGATTCTTCTGTCCTCATTTCAATCTGATTTTGCTGCAGCCAACTAGACAGTCTGCCTGCACCTCCCCCCCACGTATGATTACTTAATACAGATTTTTTTAAATTACTGATTTTGGAGGCTCATTGTACAGGTAAACATCTGAAGGGGTTGACATGTATGTGCAATATGGACAAGAACCAGCGAGGAAAGTTTCCAACACCTTATCAATCTGATGCCAACAAGAATAAAGGCAGCTCTGAAGGCAAAAGGTTTGTAGCCTGGTAAAAACCAGCCCCTTGTTCTTCGGTTTGCTTCGTACAGAGGGTATGGACCCTCGGCTATTGAGAAATGATTGCTTGCTGGAGGCGTGGAGTTGAAACAATTTATTTGATTTACCCAATCGCTAATGTTTGGCCGTGATGTATGTAGTGCGCCAGCTCGACCGAGAAGGAAGCTAAACTAAGAAGCTAACCGGAAATTGCGTGCGCTGTAAAAACACAATCTTTTATCTCTGCTTTTTCAAGATGATGTGGTTTTGTTGGAGCCTTCCCTTTAGCATGCATGAGGGGAGTTAGTGAGCAAGTGTGAAGGGGTGGGAGTCAGCTCCTCTGAGTCCAAGACTGTGACTCTCAACCAGAAAGGGTGTCTTTGAGTGGTGGGTCTGCATCAAATGGTCAAGCTCTGGGACAAATGAGTTTCGTTCACGAATAATAGTTGTGTGGAGTGGGAGTTCAACAGAAAAGGATCTCATCCAGAGTAATGAGGTCATTCATCTGGTCAGTTGTGGAGAAGAAAAAGCTGAGCCAAAAGATGAAACTCCTGTTTTACTGGTCTGTGGAAATTCCAACACTCACCTATGTTCTTGAGATATGGATCAAGAGCAAAAAAATTAGATCCTGGATCAGCTCAGCTAAAATGAGCTTCTTTCATAGGGTGGCTGGTCTCAGCTTCAGAGATAAGGTGATCATACTACTACTACATATTATTACTACTACTGCTGCTGCTTCACATCAAAAAAAGATGTTTTGGGCACCTCTTCAGGATGCTTCCTGAATGGCTCCCCTTGGAGGTTTTCAAGGTACATCCCACTGGGAGGAGACCACGGGGCAGACCTAGAATGCGCCTTTCTGGCCTTCAAACACCTTGGGAGGAGATGTAGAGTGTCACTGGATAAATGGAGGTCTGAGTTTCTTTTCTAGACCTGTTGCCTCCACGATCCCATGATGAATAAAAGCGGCAGAAAAATGGATGGATTTGAGAGATTTCCCCTTTTGGAGGAAAAAAATGGTTATCATTTAGGTTTGTTTTATCAGTTTGGGTGTTTTTACCGTTCAGTACTCCTTTCACAATCACAGGTAGGTTTGTGTGGTTCTTCAGCCAGGTGATGTCGTCCCAGCTGAGAGCCGGCTCGATGGCATTTGCAACATAAACAGCCAAACCGCTGTCGTCGCCGTAGTTCTCCTCAGAGAAGGCCAGAGAGGCTGAGGAGAAGTTTGACATCCTGGCAGAACCCACACACACACACACACACACACACACACACACACACACACACACACACACACA